TCTTACATAAAAGCCTAGGTTTAAGGAGAAGAGGTAGAAATGCTAAACGAATGAGTAAAGAGGAGTTTTCAGAGTGAACCAAATTCTGAGTAGATTGGGCACCAGATTCAAAGAAGCGTTAACCTAGGTATACGCCTGCATGCCAGAAACAAGTTCTCATAATAGTCTGTTTAAATATATAGCGAGGGGAGAGAGAGGGAGAAAATACTTATTAAAAATTAACTAAAGGGGCACCTGGGTGGCTCAGTCGGTTGGGCGACTGCCTTCGGCTCAGGTCATGGTCCTGGAGTCCCGGGATCGAGTCCCGCATCGGGCTCCCTGCTCGGCAGGGAGTCTGCTTCTCCCTCTGGCCCTCCCCCCTCTCATGCTCTCTCTCTCATTCTCTCTCTCTCAAATAAATAAAATCTTTAAAAAAATTAACTAAGGAAACTCCAAGAAAATGTGAAGAATGTTTCTGGAGAATAACAGAGAGGCTCAAGACAGAGGTGAAGGCTGGGGTGAGCGCCATTTTGCCAGCTACAGGATAGCACAGTGGAGTAAGGGCCTGGCAAGCAGCTCAAATACCAGTCCATTCATAAGTAGCAGAAAATGCAAAGACCTTCAGAGAACATTTGTTTTAACAAGTATAGGGAAACCCTTGAGATAATACAGCCATAAATCTCAACTGACCTGATAATCTTCAGTGACAAAGCAAGCAAAGATGGTGTCCAGTCCAACTCTTAAGGAGTACAGTGCTTTTCACATAGTAGCCTCTGAATAAATACTTGTGAATGGATAATGAGAAAATAGGGAGGGAGACAGGGAGAGAAGAGACAGCAATGAGGACCACGTAGGATGATCGCGAGTAGATGGCTTAGAGATGAAACTAAAAGGTAGGAAGGAAAGAACTTCAGCCAAAGAAATTGAAGTATGATACCTATATATTAGGATAGGAGTTCAAAATCAACTCAGAGCTTGAACAACAAGGTGAAATTAAGCAATTTAATCTATGGCATGGTCATATTTTGGACATGGGATTAAAAAGTTTGGGGTTATAGCCCACAGGGACTTCTTGGCACCTGAGGGCAGATGGCTTAGTGAAAAACAAGTCCTTGAAGTATATTACACACAGGACGCTAAAGACTTTTACAGTCCTGACAACAGCTGTTTTTCACTTTGTTTGATAACATGCGATCAAAACTGGACTTAAAATTCCTTCATGTTCATGAGAAGAAAGAAAGACCATCTACACTGAAGATAAACAGAAGACAATCTGGTGTTAGTAAAATTCTTTTAGAAAGCAAGCCACATCATGGTTTTAGACCTTTATCTTGAATATTTGGAGTAATAAATAACTGATTGGCCTCCACAATATGACTACAAAATATAACAACATCAACAGCCCCTACCTTTATATCACACTCACATGCCAGGGACTTCGCTAAATGCTTTTCATGCTTTTGCTCATTTAGCCCTCACAACAACTCTGTGAAGTAGGTACTAGTATTATTACCCCTATTTTAAAGGTTAGAAATCTAACAATTACAAAGATGAAGAAACTTGACCCTGAGTCACCTAGGGGTCAAGCCAAAATAGTCCTACTTGGTGAAGCCTCATCTTATGAATAAGATAAGGTATGAAATATTAGAAGACTCAGGATAGAGAAATATCTACCAATAGCTCACATTCCATGATTTGAAAATGGCAGCACATGTCCTTCAGGCACTAGGAAACACCTGCTGAATGCTGAAAGCAGGACCAATATTCCAAGCTAACAAAAGTAGGAATGGAGGTAAACAGGTTTTCAACATTGTCCCAATACCTTCTTTAACAGTTGTTTCACCACCAACAAATCCCAAGTCAATATAAAGCTAATCAGTCATTTTCTTTCTTTCTTTCTTTCTTTCTTTCTTTCTTTCTTTCTTTCTTTCTTTCTTTCTTTCTTTCTTTCTTTTTCTTTCTTTCTTTCTTTCTTTCTTTCTTTCTCTTTCTTTCTTTCTTTCTTTCTTTCTTTCTTTCTTTCTTTCTTTTCTCACTAGTCAGTCATTTCATCTTAACTCCAATTCAAAATCAAAATTAAGGCCACTTTGACCACAGACATTGAATTTCAGCTTATGTCCATTAGAAATCATTTTGTAGATGAGGCATATATAAAATCAGACTAATCCATAAGAGACAAAAGTCTGCCATTCTAAATTCACATGGACTCATCGTAATTTTGATATTACTTTTATGGAATATGTGAAACTGGAAGGATGTCACTTGAAAACTATTTTAAAATAATAAATTCTGACAGAAATGTATATATTCAAAACTGTTGATTCTCAATCCATTATGATGGCTAATATCAAAAACCCAGAAAATATCAAGTCCTGACAAGGTTATGGAGATATCAAAACCCTTAGTTGCTGTTGGTTGGATTGTAAAATGGTGGAGCCACTATGGAAGACAGTATGGAGGTTCCTCAAAAATTAAAAATAAAATTACCATATGAGCCAGTAATTCCAATCCCGTGTACATATCCAAAGAAATGTAAAGCAATGTCTCAAAGAGATATTTGTATATCCATGTTCATAGCAGCATTATTCACAATAGCCAAGAGGTGGGAGCAGCCCAAATACCATTCAGCAGGTGAATGGACAAACAAAATTGGCATATACATATAATGGAATATTATGTGGCCTTAAAATGAAGGAAATCCTGTCACATGGTGCAGTGTGGATGAACCTGAAAGGCATTATGCTAAGTGAAATAAGCCAATCACAAAATGATAGCTACCATACGATTCCACTTATATAAAGTATCCAAAGTATTCAAATCCATAGAGAAAAAAGAGCAGAATGTAGTTGTGGGGCGGGGAGTGGGGGGGCGGCGCTGAGTGGAGGGGAAAATGGTGAGTTGTTTCAGGAGTACAGAGTTTCAGTTTTGTGAGATGAAAAGCTCTGGAGATCAGTTGCACAACAACATGAATATTCTTAAAACTAGTAAACTGTACACTTCAAAATGGTTAATATGGCAAACACACACAGACATTACTATAAGGGAATGCTTCCATACTATTTGGGGGTTTTTTTTCTTGCAATGTTGTCTTACAGATTTTTAGTAATACATCTAAAATATGGATTGTGGATCACGGCATCGAAACCTGGTGATGTATTGTATGGTGACTAACATAACATAATAAATAAAATTTTTTTTTAATTAAAAAAATAAAATATGGATTGCTTAAGGGAGACTTAAAAAAGAACAAATTATTTTTATTTATTTTTTTTTTTTTAAAGATTTTATTTATTTATTTGAGAGAGAGAGAATGAGAGAGAGAGCACATGAGAGGGGGGAGGGTCAGAGGGAGAAGCAGACTCCTTGCCAAGCAGGGAGCCCAATGCGGGACTCGATCCAGGGACTCCAGGATCATGACCTGAGCCGAAGGCAGTCGCTCAACCAACTGAGCCACCCAGGTGCCCCGAACAAATTATTTTTTAAAATTGTCCATAAAAGTGAAAACAAATCTGTTTTGTGTTTATTAAGAAGCCAAAACTACACAGAAGATTCACAGAGCTGTGTTAAGGTTTATTTAGTAAAAGGCTTTATAGAAATCAGACCTGGCCAACGGAATGGGTTTTGTTAAGGTAATAAGCTCCTGGTCATGGATTCATTCAAGCAAAGGAAAACCTGTATCTATCAACACTGCTATATGGGATTTTGCCCTGACTGGAAATTTTTCCTCCATTAACTCTAAGGTCTTTCTAGTCCAAATCCCATGATTCTATGTCAAAAGAATTCAAGTAAACAGAGACAGTGGTAGCCTTTGATCATCATAGGAAAATCATTCATAAACCAAACCAAAAAGATTGATAGTTTTCATTACATAAAAAGACATCTCCATATCCACAATGAAACAAAACAAATAAGCAAACAAAAACTACCACCACAAAACAAAATTAAAAGACCAGCAACTGAATGTGAAATAAAATTTGCATTCACTTAACACAAATGGAATGGTAAACTTATTACACAACAAAGTTCTACAAATCATCAACAATAACAAAAAAAATTAAACCCACAATTTTAAAAAAGACTCAAAAAACACTGATGGGCAGTCACAAAAGAATGCCTATCACCAATAAACAAATGTTAATATTTGCAACAATTTCCTTATAATGCAATTGTATGCAGACATTAAAAATAATAAGATAGTTCTTTCTTTACTGATATGTAATAACCTCCAAGATATTTTGTGAAGTAAAAAAGCAAAGGGCAAAACAAGATGCATAACATGCTTCTCTTCGTGAAGGAAAAATTAGCGTGCATGCACACACACGTGTGTTTTTGCTCATCTGCATGTTGGGTGTATATGAATAATATTTTAGGAAGACTACTAGAGAAAATTATAACAGTGGTTGCCCTCTAAGAGTTATTGATGGATGTCTGGGAAGCAGGTGTTGGAAGTACATATCATTTTCATGGGATAATATGTTGTTTCTTTAACATTTTGAACCATGTTTATTTATTCAAGGGATAAATTTTATTAACTTTTGTACTTCTGGCAAATCAAAAAATGTACGCTGAAATGAGAATTTTTTCTTTTGTTCTGTCTATTTAATAAAATAGTAGGAAGAATAATAACCCAGAGGCATCCAGTGTCCAGGCAAATAGGCACTCTTGTTCACTGCTAGTACTAATGTAACTAATAATTCATAAACTTTGGTTTATGAATGATTTTCCTAGGATGATCAAAGGCACTCTTGTCCACTGCTAGTACTAGTGATCAGGATGATCCTGTCCTTTCTGGAGGACAACCGGTAAGATGAATAAAGGGACTTAAAATGTGCATATCTTCTACCTCAGGCTCAACCATTCAGAAGTGATTCTAGGACTTTATCTTTAGGAAATAACCAAATGTATGTCTAAAAGTAAGGTACCATGACATTTATTACAGATTTGGAAATAATATAAATGTCTTTTAATAAGAAATTTAATTTTGTAAATTATATGTGCTTCCATACAATAGAGCATTATGCAGCCAAAAAATTATGGTGGTGAAGAATAATGTGACCCGAGAAAGTACAAAACTACAAAACAGTATGCACAAATAAACTACCATTTTTATTTTTTAAAAGTTTACACGCACATAAAAATTCAGAAAAGTACATAGAGCTGTTTTTTCCCCAGCTTTATTTGAGATATAACTGACATATAACGTTAAAATGTAAGGTGTACAATGGGCTGATTTCATACAGGTATTCGTAGCTAAGTTTTACCTGTTTCCTTTTAACAGCTATTGTTGAATGGTGGGAAAACGGGCCATTTTTTCCTCTTACTTTGCCCCATGTTTTTGCACTTCACAGAGAAGTGCAAAATGCAGCTCAATTGTTAGGAGAATGGGCTTAGAAGCCAGCTGGAGGGATTCAAAAGCCTATGCTGCTACTTGCTACTTTGTGGAAGTTACATAACTTTTCTGTGCCTCCATAGTAATGCTTCACTCTCCTATCTGTTGAATGGGGTAATAACAGTTACTGTGAGTTCAACTCATTAATAGAAGCATACTGCTCAGAACAGTACCTGGAGTATATTATCTAATATTGTTGCTGTTACATTGAGAATTAGGTGGAAAATCTTTCAAAAACTCAAATTAATGATCTATTATATATTTCAACTTTTACTTTATTACATGTTGCTAAGAATACAAAAGCAAATGTATAAGTTTTAGAGAACAATGAATGAAAAAATATTTAATACAAGATTCTTGCAATGGAATGACTACTATTAATTTGGCTTTCCAAATTAAAGAGGCTTAAAGAACCTTTCTATTATACATATCCTTATACAAAATCAAGCAAATGAACCGATAAAAACCACCCCCCCACTGAGGTGAGGCCTGCAATGTGATCTCTTAAGAGAGAGCCTCCTTATTTGGACACCTGATCATAGATTCACAAGCGAGGTATGTTTTTCTATTTAATTGGTGGAAGAGCAGGCTTTAAAAAAAGAAAAATGCTCTAGGGATGTTCTATGAGTGATAAGAAGCAGCGCAAAACTTTTACCAACCCGTGGGAGACCAGTGATCAGGATGATCCTACTTAAACAAGAAATCTGTTGCTAGGATTCCAATGCGTCAAAAATCCACAGGACAACAGGGGACTGATGAAGTAGGCTTGGCAAAAAGAATCACAGACCATGAGGATCACGACAAAGCATTATGCTAAGAAACCTAGTCCAGAACTATTAAAAAAAAAAAGCCTGCAGATGTTAGATTGATTTTATTAGCTATCATCTATCCCCAAAATAACATAATCATGAAAGACAGGACTTTTGTCTAATGAAGGAATGGCCAAAGAATATAATTTGTTCACAGTCTGCTTTATAAATGTTTTATTTTAGTCAATTTTTCAATCTTCCAATGGCCCATTAGAACCTGGACTTCATTTCAGTTTACACACTCCTTTTTTTTTTTAGAGCTTGGCTTTGCATTTATATAGAAAGCAGCAAGTGGCCCAGAAGGGCAGCAACAATTCCTGAACCTTCTGGCCCATGTTGTAAAGTCCCCTCCCCAGAGGGTCAGGAGTGATGAACTGGATCAGATGCCAGGGAGCAGCAAGCTGCAGTTCTTTGAAGTTTTCATAAATTCACCTTGTTATAGCAGCTGAGGTGGCCACAACTTGGCATTTGAAGGCATTGGCAGTCTCCAAAGATAGCTCAAGGGGAAATGCCCTTTGTGACCCTGGGAGTCATAGCTGTCACTCTGGTCTTGGCAAATCACAAGGGTGGAACTCACATTGGATTATGCCTACTTCTTTTTTTTTTTTTTTTTTTTGAGGGTAAAGTGTGTATTTTATTTATTTGTACTTAAACCTATAAACCAATCAGCCAAACTGGTACTATTATCATGACACATTCAAATACAAAACATCTTTCTACAAATACTAGAATAATGAACAAATTAACAGTTCTAGTAAAACATCACAAGGAACAGAGGAATCAATGAAGCACATTATAGCTTAACCCTTCACCGTTAGAGGTTATTAACAAGAAAAGCCTCACAATCTCAGAAAATACAAATTATCCTTCATCACACGTCTTTGTATCTTCACTTCCTATTCTTGAGGTTAGATTCTAGAGCCTAAAGATATCCACATTAGTATTGTATCTAGTTATCTATAGCGAGAAACACCTTTTATCATGTTGTCCATAGAGCCAACGCTACTGAAACCTCTTTGACTCCCATCGTACCCCCTCAATGGACACAGTAAGAATAATGGAAAACAGAATATCGAGGCAGAGATATATAGGACCTAAAAGACAAAGCCTAGGAGATAACAGCCACCACCCAAACTGAGATCGAATAATATACTCATTGTCACACGTCTTCAGTCTGTATGTTCACAGAGTAATTTGGGAACAAATCCATTATTTGCTGGGTACTAAAATACTTAGCAGATTGTCGTATTACACTATGGCTTTCCCCAGAAGTTTCTAAGATGGACTCCAAATCACTGATGGAATTTTGCTGGAACTGGATCTGGGGCTGCAGAGATTCCTCTCCACAGTTTTGGAGCTGATTGTTCCAGGCTTGGGGGCACCAGGTCTGACTGGCCCAGGAGTGGTTGATCCAAGACTGGCTGTTCCAGGTCTGGTTGCTCCAATTCGGGTTATTCCAGGTCTGGTTGCTCCATATTGGAAGGTTTCCGGAAGTGTTCCTCGGGTATCCCTGGTGGTAGGAATAGAAGCCTGGGTATTCTGCGGTTGCTGTGCTGTTACTCTTGCTCTCCTTTGGCCAGTGGTTTTTCTGCCACCTCTTACATTTCATTCTCTGATTCTGGAACCAGGTCTTCACGTGCTTATAGCTAAGGTTCAGAATGTTGGAAAGTTCTTGCATCTGCTGGAGACTGAGGTATTTCTGTCTCTGAAATTGATCATTGAGGACATAGAGTTGGGTCTGAGAGAACACGGTCCTGATCTTCTGTTTCTTGCCCTGGGCTGTATCTTCCTTCCTCACTGTTCTCTCCTCTCCAGAAGTGGGTGGTGGTTTTACCCTGGGCCTGGGGGAGGAGTCGGGGCTGTCCTGAACAAACAGATCCATGGACGAAGGAAGAGGAGAGACGGTCTCCGCGTGGGGTGTCTCAGCAGATGACATTTGCAGGGATGCATAATTTTCTTCGGGCCCGTAAATCTCAGGCATTGGAGAAGAGTCCCTAGAACTGGGTGCTTCGGGGCCAGGCGGGCATAGGGGCAGAGCTGGATCTGCACTCATGTTGGTGAGTTAAGGGTAGACAGAAAAAAAAAAAAAGAGCGAGATTGTAAGAAAGGCCCAGGCTTATGGATCTAGGTGGAAGAGCTAAGAAGAGCAGAAAGACCTCCAGATGTTAAGAGTCTGAGAAAGACAGGATGAAGTGCGTCACCACTGCAATAGTAAGAGCCAACCAGCCCAATGGAGCCGGATTATGCCTACTTCTTTTTCTGCATCTCCCTTATACATAATAACCTCTCACAACCCCTTGCAAGCAGTCAGGCCTCTTATATGGCCAGCTGGCTGTCCAAGAAAGCCAAGGGAAATGCTTCATTATTTCAACACCAGTTTGTCTTTCTTAAAGTACCCCTATGCTCCAAAATAACTTCTCAAATCTGTAACCATTTAAAATTCCCATTCCTGCACTAGTGTAAGCAGAAGTGTTACAAATAAAACAATCTGATGCAAAAGCTTCATGCTAAGTTGGAAATTAAGGGAACTGTCTCAGTTTTAAAATGGGAGGGATAACCCAATTATCCCAAATGAATATGTACTCAACAGAATGTGTAGAAGAAAATAATTGTGTAAGGGGGAGACATGCAGTGGAAGACAGAGGTATCATTGTGAATGTAAGAAAACCAGGATAAACACCACGGCCCATCACTTTGTGGAGACAGCTACACATGACCTTGACATTCTAGAATACAACATGAAGGAGAAAGAAATCCTAATACCTGCGGGAGCAAAACTCATCATGTCATTGTTTTGGGTTTTTTTCTCATCTACTCAGTTCCTTTTGTCTTAATTAATTGAGCATGTAATGTCCAGTGGTTAAGGGAAAATATTCTGGAACCCAATGGAAGGATCTCAAATTCCCATTCTACCACTTCCTAAATGCAAGGTCTTTTAACCATAAAATGGGGATAACATGAACCTCATAAGACCATTGTGAGATGGGGCGCCTGGGTGGCTCAGTCGTTAAGCATCTGCCTTTGGCTCAGGTCATGATCCCAGGGTCCTGGGATCGAGCCCCGCATCGGGCTCCCTGCTCGGCGGGAAGCCTGCTTCTCCCTCTCCCACTCCCCCTGCCTGTGTTCCCTCTCTCGCTGTGTCTCTCTCTGTCAAATAAATAAAATCTTAAAAAAAAAAAAAAAAAAAGACCATTGTGAGAATTAAATCTAATTATGTAAAGTGTGCCTGACACATGAATATTCCTAATATGTGGTAGATGATGATGATGATGATGATGATGATGATTAACAGTTATAGGGCACCAGCTATGTGTAGCCCCAGGTGCTGGAAATGGCATATATTTCTCATCACAGGTAGCATACAATTAAGCAGAAAAGACAGACATGCGCTGCTTATTTATACTATGTGATGACGCCATACATTTGTTTTTTGTTTTTTTTTTCTTCTTTTTAATTTAAATTCAATTAGTCAACATATAGTACATCATTAGTTTCAGATGTAGAGTTCAATAATTCATCAGTTGCATATAACACCCAGTACTCACCATATCACATGCCCTCTTTAATGCCTATTGCCCAGTTATCCCATCCCTCCATCCACCTTCCCTCCAGCAACCCTGTTTGTTTCCTATAATTAAGAATCTCTCATGGTTTGTCTCCCTCTCTGATTACTCCTGATTCAGTTTTCCCTCCCTTCCCCTATGATCTTCTGTGCTGTTTCTCATATTCCACATATGAGTGAAACCATATAACTGTCCTTCTCTGACTGACTTACTTCACTCAGCATAATACCCTCCAGTTCCATCCACATCGATGTAAATGGTAAATATCCATCCTTTCTGATGACTAAATAATATTCCATTGTATATATATACCACATCTTCTTTATCCATTCATCTGTCGATGGACATCTCGGCTCTTTCCATAGTTTGGCTATTGTGGACATTGCTGCTATAAACATTGGGTGCATATGCCCCTTCAGATCATTTGTATCTTTGGGGTAAATAACCGATAAGACTCCACCCCAAAATTACTAGAACTCATACAGGAATTCAGCAACATGGCAGGATATAAAATTAATGCACAGAAATCAGTTGCGAGGGGCGGAGCAAGATGGTGGAGGAGTAGGAGACCTGGATTTCGTCTCCTCTCAGGAATTCAGCTGGATAGGGATCAAACCATTCTGAACACCTACAAACTCAACAGGAGATCAGAGAAAAGAATAGCAACAACTCTCTGAACAGAAAAGCGACCACTTTCTGGAAGGTAGGACGTGCGGAGAAGTGAATCCGAGGCAATATTCGGGAGGAGAGACGGCGGGGGAGGGGCCTCCGTTGGCCGCTTCTGGCAAGTGATAGAGCCGCGGAGCACAAAATCGGAACTTTTAAAAGCCTGCTCCACTGAGGGACGTCGCTCCAGTGGCTAAGTGGGGGGTGGAACCCTCGTGGGACAGTGTGGTCTCAGGACCCTCGGGGTCACAGAAAGACCAGGGGTGCCTGAGTGCAGCAGAGCTCCCAGGTATCGGAGCGGGAAGCCGGCTGCAGAGGCGGAGCCCAGGCGCGGGCTCTCAGCTCGGGGTCGCCATAAACCGGGATCCGCGGCACAGTCAGGCCCCTGCTCCTCCAGCAGGGACCCAACAAGCGGCAGATCCGGGGAGACTCACCTTCTTCCCCGGGAGGAGTGGTGCGGGAGTGCACCGCAGGGATCTGCTGGGTTTGGAGACTCCACCCGGGGTCGGGGGCCAGAGATAGAAATGCGCAGTCACAGGCCGGGTGAGCACGGAGTGCAGCTGGAGACTGGGGAGACGGAGTGACTGACGGCTTTTCTCTGGGGGCTCACTGAGGAGCGAGGCCCCGAGTTCTCGGCTCCTCCAGGGTGGAGATTGGGAGGCCGCCATTTTCACCCTCGGCCTCCAAAGCTGTATGGAAAGCTCGCAGGGAACAAAAGCTCTGGAGAGCAACCCGAGCAGATTACTTAGCCCGCACCGGGCAAGGGCGGGGCAATTCCGCCTCCGGCAAAGACATTTGGAAACCACGGTAACAGGCCCCTCCCCCAGAAGATCAGCGAGAACAGCCAGCCAAGACCAAGTTTACCGATCAATGAGAACGGCAGAACTCCAGCGCTAGGGGAATACTGCACATAGAATTCATGGCTTTTTTACCATGATTCTTTCGTCGTTCAAAGTTAATTTTTTTTTTAACTGTCTTTTTTTCTTTTTTTTTTTTGAATTTTTCTTTTTCCCTTTTTCAACCAACATCTTATCAATCCCTTTTTTAAAAAACATTTTTATTTTTCATTTTTAGAGTCATATTCTATTCCTTCATAGTAGTTACCTGTATTTTTGGCATATATATATAAGTTGTTCTCTCTTTAAAATTTTGAGATAGTTTCTTCTAACAGATCAAAATATACTCTAAATCTCTAGTGTATGGTTTTTTTCTACTCCCCTGCCTGATCACATTCTCTCCCTTTTTTTTTCTTTTCTTTTTTTTTAAATCCTCTTCTTTCTTTTTTTAAACAACTTATCAATTCCTTTTATAAAATTTTTTATAATTTCCATCTTTACAGTCATATTCCATCCCTTCATCATACCAAACCTTATTTTTGTACATATATAAGTTTTTCTTTCTTTAAAATTTGGGAGGCACTTTCTTTTAACAGACCAAAATACACCCAAAACCTAGTGTGTGGCACTGATCTATATACCAGCCTGATCATATTTGATCACATTCTGTTTTTGTTGTTTTGTTTTGTTCTGTTTTTGTTTGTTTTTATCTTTTTCTTTTTTTTTTTTCTTTTTCTTTTTTCTCTTTTTCCCTTTCTTTTCCCACTGCTTCAGGTCTTTTCTGATTTGTTTAGAGTATATTTTCTGGGGACATTGTTACCCTGCTAGCATTTTGTTCTCTCATTAATCTATTCTCCTCTGCACAAAATGACAAGATGGAAAAAATCACCTCAACAAAAAGAACAAGAGGTAGTACCGACTGCCAGGGATGTCAGATCTAGAGTTCAGAATCATCACTTTAAAGATACTAGCTGGGCTTGAAAAAAGCATGGAAGTTATTAGAGAAACGCTTTCTGGAGAAGTAAAAGAACTAAAATCTAACCAAGTAGAAATCAAAAAGGCTATTAATGGGTGCAATCAAATATGGGGGCGCTAACTGCTAGGATAAATGAGGCAGAAGAGGGAATCAGTGATATAGAAGACCAAATGATAGAAAATAAAGAAGCTGAGAAAAAGAGAGATAAACAACTACTGGATCATGAGGGCAGAATTCCAGAGATAAGCGATACCATAAGACGAAGCAACATTAGAATAATTGGGATCCCAGAAGAAGAAGAAAGAGAGAGAAGGGCAGAAGGTATAATGGAGCAAATTATAGCAGAGAACTTCCCTAATTTGGGGAAGGAAACGGGCATCAAAATCCAGGAAGCACAGAGAACCCCTCTCAAAATCAATAAAAATAGGTCAACACCCCGACATCTAATAGTAAAACTTACGAGTCTCAGAGACAAAGAGAAAATCCTGAAGGCAGCTCAGGAGAAGAGATCTGTAACCTACAATGGTAGAAACATTAGATTGGCAACAGACCTATCCACAGAGACCTGGCAGGCCAGAAAGGACTGGCAGGATATATTCAGAGCACTAAATGAGAAAAATATGCAGCCAAGAATACTATATCCAGCTAGGCTGTCATTGAAAATTGAAGGAGAGCTAAAAAGCTTCCAGGACAAACAAAAACTAAAGGAATTTGCAAACACGAAACCAGCCCTACAAGAAATCTTGAAAGGGGTCCTCTAAGCAAAGAGAGAACCTAAAAGCAACATAGACCAGAAAGGAACACAGACAATATACAGTAACAGTCACCTTACAGGCAATACAATGCCACTAAATTCCTATCTTTCAATAGTTACCCTGAATGTAAATGGGCTAAATGCCCCAATCAAAAGACACAGGCTATCAGATTGGATTAAAAAACAAGACCCATAGATATGCTGTCTGCAAGAGACTCATTTTAGAACCAAAAACACCCCAGATTTAAAGTGAGGGGTTGGAAAACCATTTACCATGCTAATGGACACCAAAAGAAAGCTAGGGTGGCAATCCTTATATCAGACAAATTAGATTTTAAACCAAAGACTGTAATAAGAGATGAGGAAGGACACTATATTCTACTTAAAGGGTCTATCCAACAAGAAGATCTAATAATTGTAAATATCTATGCCCCTAACATGGGAGCAGTCAATTATATAAGGTAATTAATAACAAAAGCAAAGAAACACATCAACAACAATACAATAATAGTGGGGAACTTTAACACCCCCCTCACGGAAATGGACAGATCATCTAAGCAAAAGATCAACAAGGAAATAAAGACTTTAAATGACACACTGGACCAAATGGACTTCACAGACATATTCAGAACATTCCATCCCAAAGCAATGGAATACACATTCTTCTCTCGTGCCCATGGAACATTCTCCAGAATCGATCACATCCTAGGTCATAAATCAGGTCTCAACCAGTACCAAAAGATTGGGATCATTCCCTGCCTATTTTCAGACCACAGTGCTTTGAAACTAGTATTCAATCACAAGAGGAAAGTCAGAAAGAACTCAAATACATGGAGGCTAAAGAGCATCCTACTGAAGAATGAATGGGTCAACCAGGAAATTAAAGAAGAATTTAAAAAATTCATGGAAACCAATGAAAATGAAAACACAGCTATTCAAAATCTTTGGGATGCAGCAAAGGCAGTCCTAAGAGGAAAGTATATAGCAATACAAGCCTTTCTCAAGAAACAAGAAAGGTCTCAAGTACACAACCTAACCCTACACCTAAAGGAGCTGGAGAAGGAACAGCAAATAAAGCCTAAACCCAGCAGGAGAAGAGAAATAATAAAGATCAGAGCAGAAATCAATGAAATAGAAACCAAAAGAACAGTAGAACAGATCAATGAAACAAGGAGCTGGTTCTTTGAAAGAATTAACAAGATTGATAAACCCCTGGCCAGACTTATCAAAAAGAAAAGAGAAATGACCCAAATCAACAAAATCATGAATGAAAGAGGAGAGATCACAACCAACACCAAAGAAATACAAACAATTATAAGAACATATTATGAGCAACTCTATGCCAGCAAATTAGA